GTTTCAGCTTAAACTACAAGTGCAAAGAATTCATACAAAATTTGCAGCCTCAGATCTTAGATGTTCAAAATAAAATGAGAAGAGGAAACTTACACCCAGTGCAATCTCTGTTATGCAGTCTACGTGGACTGCATTACAGAGGCTTTTTTATTTCATACTTGGTTGGAATTTTCATTTTGCCATATTTCATGACTATGACACCTTTTGATTTGTGTGATGATACAGACTTGCATGCCTAAAAGCAAAAGCATGGTATCATTTAGGAAAGTCTCAATGTTCCAGTTATTTTGTTTTTTTTGCAGTCTTGAATTGCTTCATTCACAATTTCAACTATATAAAGGACAATCACTTGAACCTTCAATGGACGTCATGTTCACCTCAAACAAGACAAGCTGATGCTTTAAAAACTTCTGGCAATAGCAATGATTTCATTCTGCAGTTAATCTGTACCTCAATAAACCTGCGGAACATAGTCAGCTCTTTCTTGATCTTCAGGTAGCTTCTTTTGGTCTCATCATACCTTCTGATGATCTGTTCTGGATCTCCCTTGCTGCAAGAGAAGAGACGCACATGCAGATGTTATTGTGCTCCTGCAAACTATACAGCCAAAAGATTTAATAATGATGAAATAAGATTAATGCCAAATGATGTGGCTTCAAACTCAACATTTTTCCTCACTTTTGTTTTCTTAGAAATGATGTCTAGGTATGTTTGAGTTAGAATACGACCTTGCTAGGAATAAAGCATTTTGTATTAATAACCCAACAAGTAGGGAAAATAATACCAGTATATCAGAATAAATTGTGTACTGCTATCAACTGTTTGCAGACGCTGTGAATTACTGAAAGAATTACTGTCTATCTCCTCTCATCTCCTCTTTTGCTGTGTAAGGTTATACAATTAAGAAATGACAATGCCACCTGAAAAGAGCGCTCAACTACAAGCACAAACTGTATGGGGGCCTAGAGGGGTCCCTTTCCCTGTATCACAAAGCAACAGGATTCCAGTCAACAAAACAAGTTGGGCAGCTTTTGGGCATTACATTAAATCAAATAAAAAACCTTTTAATTTTGCCGCTGTGCAGATCTATGGTGATGTGCACACTGAAGAGAAACCGGAAACTTCTAAACAGAGCAAGTCAATTCCATACACAGTCACAACATTTACTACCTTTGCTGTTCTTTCTCAATCCTTTTGGTAATCTGGTCTATTTCACTGTCAATGTTCTGGGGTTTTCTGGCTGTTACAACTCTCTCTGGATGAATCTGCTTTGCTTTCCCTACCATGACCTATGCACAAAGGTAAACAAATGACAGGCAGATGTGTAAAATACAGAAACTTCTGCAAACTCTTTGCTGGCTACAGTTACCTAAAATACACAAATTGAAAACTCTACAAAGCCTGAAAGATTCCAGCTGAATTGTTCTCACAGAGAATAATTCTAGCTAGGATCAACATTTCAGGCTCTCAAAATGTTTTTATATAAAAAAGAAAAAGACAAAAAACTGAAATGACAGCATAGGAGAGACAACACGAAACAAGTTTTATGTTGATAAAAACAAAAAGGGAAAGTGAAGGAGATGAAAAATAGAGATGACGGCAGGGAATCATCAATTGGCTTTTAAGAACCCTATAAATTTACTACCCCCCCCCGTTAATTGTTTGCTAGTTGATAAAGGCTTTGCCCCACCCAGAACTTCCCATACAGAACAAAGTCATTCCCCCTTAAAAGAAATGCCCATGAAAACACATAAGAGGCTGTGGAGTACCCAAGGTGTGGCAAACGTGTACATTAATCAAGGAAACATGGTTACCACGACGATAACTTACTGACCCTTTTTTACTTTGTGCTTTACACAAGGGTAGGTAGGTAGATGTAGTTTGGCTACTAACCTCCACCTCTTTTGCATGTCGGTCTTGCCTGGTCTTCAATACATTCAGGTTGTCCAAGTGTTCCTTCTTCTTGTTTGTGTAGTGCTTCAGATGATTCTTGGCTGATTCGATTTCAGCACTGGCGGTCAGCACATCATCCTGCATTGCGAAGTTGCAAATAAATAAGATTTTAACTGCCCTTGGACAAAAATGATCAAAAGACGAGAATGGCCTTGAAGTGAGAGAAGTAGCTGATTTGACATTTTGGGGAAGAGAGGGAGATTTCTTGCATTCAGGGCATGAAAAAAAGGCAATTTTTTTGCTGTTGAGATCGAAATGAATCCCTGTAATAGAAAGATACATAAATTTCTTCACTTGTTTTGCTTAGTACATGTATGGAAGAGTATTCTTTCCTTAAAATTTAAGATCCAAAAACCTACGATTAAATGAAAGTTTAATCTAAATGTAAAAAGCAAAAGAACAATTTTTCTCAATAGTTCTGCAGAAAAAGATGTTCACTTTGAGGAAAACTGTGAGTTCAACCGATTCGGAGAAAATGCTTTGTCATATGTTTTTCTAAAGAGAAGAGTTTGCTTTCTTTGTTATGACAGGAGATGTGTGCAATGTGGAAGAACGGTTTTGTGACAGCTGATTTTGGACCACAATGGCAAGATTTTACACTTGCCTTTATAGCACTACAAATGCTGTCATAAACAAAAACATTACGAATACCTGTACACTAAACATTTAACAAAAGGTGAAGCATAAAAACTGGGGTGCAGAGAAACAGAAAGCAGGCCAGCACAAAAAAACTCCACTTCTTTACTCTGCCTTCTTTTCATGATGTCTTACCTTAATCGGCTCCACTCTGTCAGCAAAATTCTTCATCTCCTCATCCAGTTCAGAGAATCGCTGCTTCAGCGCATCGTACTCCCGGTGGATCTCCTTGTACAGCATCCCTAGGTCATCCAACACAGCCTGGTTGGCCTCTATCTCTCGGTCCAGGGTGGCTACCTCCTCCTCCAGAGTACTAACATCCACTGGGGGGATGTCCTCGATGGCTTCCAGCTGTTGCTTGTCCTGAAGGGAGATTTGAAAAATGAAGGTGTGGAAAAGTAGCATGATTACAAGGGGAGATCACAACCGCTCCCCCCAAGTCCATGCCCCTCTAATTGAAATTTCAAGATGTACATGCCTCTGCACAAATTAAAGTGAATTTGGTTTCTGCATCCTTCTAAAACAAAAATTGTGCAACCCTGGGTTCCCCTGCAGACATTTTACCCAGGTTACTTTGCCTGGTTGGAGCTTTGGGTTAGTGTCCAACGTGCCTTTGTTACAAGTTCACGTTGAATACAAACAAACTGCATTACGCTGGAGAGCTTTGTTGCATTCATTTATATTGCAGGATTCGATCTTTACAGCGGCCACTGCAGCGATGCTCCAGTGAATTGCCGTGATGCCCTTTAAAAATAGTGCGCACCTTTCGGCCACTTGGCCGACGTGCCCCTTTTCAATGATCACTAGGTGCCTACATGTATTTAAAGTTGTAATCAACTTTCAAGTTACCGTTTAGCACCAGCGTTTCTGTCAACGGCTGGCCAACCGCACCGAGCACTAGTTTTTTGCATTGCACGGACTGGTTTTGCATTGCTCGTAGACAACATAGTATGGCAACCACATCATCATAGTTGTGTGACTCTAAGAACGTAGCACCAGACTTCTTTTATACATAGATTGGTTACAAGCCGCGGCACAGAATTAAACATTCTGCACCAATTGGATTCTGTACATTGCACGTATTGAGACCGAGTTACTATTATTTCGGGATTGCGGACGGGAGTACGACCAAGCCTCTTTTCCTCGCTATTTCACTGGTATTCATGTAGGTGCTGGGCATGACAGTGGGCTTCTATTGGGTAAATGCCTGCACAAATTGTGACCCAGTGACCGACTTGCTAGAATTGCAATTTTTGTAAGTTGATTTTTGAAATACAGTGTTACCTTTATGGCATCATGAAAAGTAATAAGAAAAAACACCAAATGGTAAATTAAAAGTACTACAGTATTATGTATTTTTTTTCTACAATTCAAGCAGACTGCTCATCATGTGAACAGAAACAGTGAAAATTGCAGGTTGAAAGTTAAACACCATGTTGAAATTGAAGGAAAGTCTGTGTTTAAGTCACCAACAAGCATGATGAGTAGATGTTTCCAAGTGGCCTTGGTGCCCTTTCAATTGGCCTTGGTGCCCTTTGGTTTTGGGGAGCATTCAAGGCCAAGTGGCCTTGACCCTCTGAAGCTTAAGGTTGAAGCCTGATATTGATTCTTACATAGACCAGCTGGTTAATGGTTTGCTTCAGCTTCAGTCGTTGCGTTTGTACTCGGCGTTTCTGCTGCTCGTTCTGCCTGATGGTCGTGTCTAGCTCCCTCAGCTGCTGCAGCACATCTTTCTGCTGCTGTTGCAACAGCTGTACCTCACATTGCATTTCCCTAAAATCATACAGACGATGCAATGAGTGGTTACAGAATCTTGCATACTGGTCACGTCACAGACTTCCCGTGTGCAAAACGTAGACAGCCAAATTAATGAAATCAAACTGACCGTTTTTCTACTGATGTCTCACAGCTTCTTTGAAACCAACTTTATGAAAATCAGACATGCTCCTTTCCTGAACTGTTCCTTTTTCCAAGGCAATCAGGACACAGACACACTTTTCCTACTAACATGTTCTCATGCATAGCCACAAATGCATGACAGCATCAACTGTGAATCGCCAAAACAACTTTATCTGTCAGAGTTATTTGGAATTTTAAAGATACGCTTATAATGGACATCCCCACATACATGTCAACTTTCCCTGACAGTAACATGGAACTCACCCATCGTGAGATACTCCTTCTTTCTACAAACTATCAATCTGTAGCTTTCTTACATGAAATGATAGAATGTAAAGGACTTTATCACTAATCAAAAATCTGTGATGTTATCTTAGCGGCAGAACAAGAGAGGGCATTTTTTACATAGCAACGACAGTCCTTTATTGGTAACTTATTGCATGTGGAAAAAGGTTTCAATATGGACAATTGGTGTGAGATGTGGTAAGCATGCATGGAACATTCCTGTTTGAATGTTCGGTCTTGGCTGCACCAGGTGCATGCACAAGCCCTGTCAGAAATAACTTCCCACCAGCCTGTCTCTTCTGTGCCAGTGACGGCACACTTCATCTTGGGACAGGTATTACCTGATGTCTTCCTCCACATCTCCACGAAGCACTCTAGCCTTGGTGTACCGATTAGAGTAGTAACGCTGATCGCGGCCAGCATAGACCTGATCTCCGCTGAGGGTGAAGGCTTCCCTGCAGTTGTGGGGTGTTTGTAACCGCAGGAGGTTACGTGCATCTTGGCTAGACTCTACCAACAGAATGCCTTCAACACCACGCTGCATATGCAAGAGCAAAAGACATATAGCTCTGAGAAAAGGTCATCTTTCAGCAACTACAAGTCATGTATTTAACCCCTTCACGCCGGTAATTCTTTTGACCGTTACTGCTGGGCTGTGGTATGCCCTGGATTGAGGGCTTTGTCAACAGCAGGCCCCATTGAACCAGCAGCTGCAGGGCGAATAGACTGTATGTGTGGTATGCACTAATCCTCAAACAAAGCCACGGCTCTTGCCATCTCCAGGAGTGAAGGGGTTAAGGCCACACCAGCAATCATTTTAAAAATCTGATCCAAACACATTTCTTTCTAAAAGACACCACCACCAAGGTTTTGTGAAGAAATGAAAACTCAGATGACAAATTGTCATGAATCCCTCAAAAAGACAAAGTACCGGTAGATGGCTGAAGTCTGTATCATTTACTGTACACATTTGAACACTCAAACACGCCAAAAAATAACAATATCAAGCATGTTTAATCTTGCCATAAAACAACTTTAAAATGTGATGATTTGTAGCACATATATTTGAAAACATGACTTCAACTAGTGCACTTGTTTGATTTCAGTTCTTGAAACCTACATCTATCACTACAAGTGAAAAGACCGTACAATGTAAAAAAACAATACTTTGGAACCGTACTAAATTTCTTTCATACACCTGTATCAACTTTTTTTACACTAACATCATGTTTGAAAGTGCAAAACTAAAGAACAGGTTTTAATAAGGCGACATGAATTGGTCAATACCACGTGGCAAAGCCAACTTCATGAATATTTCATCTGCCACCTGATGAAATTATTCTATTATACAATAAATAATTCAATGACATGTGATCAATCACCAACCAACTGAACAGGAGAGATTTATTCAGGTATTGTAAAATAATGGCTAAATAGTGTCAGAACTAAGCCTGAAAACTGGCAAATCATCGTCCACTTTACTGGGCTATGCAAGGCGAGTCCTTCAAATCATGTATATTAAAACCATGTGCTGGCCTCAGCCAGATGAGACGGTGGCCATGTATACAAATTCAGCTTAAATAATGGGTAGGTGCCTACCTGATCAATCAAGCAATTGTAGATAGTGGGGTCCTCGATATCAATCATGTCTAACAGTGACGGATACTCCTCACATCGCACTGCCCCTTGTGATATGTCATACCTCTGGCCCTTAAATGTAAAGATCCAAACATCAAAAGCTCTTTTCAATTATTTCCATACATATATTTTGGAACTTTGACAGATTCACACAATTCAGAAAGATGTTTAATTATAACCCTAACCATGAAAATCCAACAAGATTCTATGTGATTTGAACTATCACCCCAAGGACTGGAGGTAGCAACTCTGTTGATTGTTCATTGTAGTTCTGTACTTTAATGAACCTGCGTCCACCCTCGTCACTGATTTAGGTTTTTGTTCAAAGATGATGATGGTTTAAAAATGTCACACAAATCTTGAACTCATGACCATCAAGGGTCAGAAATGGTGAAGTCCAAGTTCGCAAAGAACTATAGCTGTGATATTGTCATTTTAAAATATTGGTATTTTCCCCAGGGACAAATTCATGGTGAAGAAAGACAACCAGCAAATGTTAAGAAGTTTTATATGATCATGCCACTGAACTTCCATTTACACTGGAATTCAGACTCAATTTCTAGTAGCCTTGTAGTGTATTCAGACAAATGATTCAGTGGCACATGATCAATGACCCACTGATTATATGACAGAAAGTTATTCTGGATTACAGTGAAACATAACACCTTCACATGGTCCTACCTGAAAGGCTGACACTATGATTCCTGGTCGTCTTTTCTTATCAGGGACAAAACGAGCGATCAGTTGGTTGAGGATGTTCATGTCATGGTAATTATGACAGCAGAACTTGTAAAGAAGTTGTTTCAAGCAAGCCTCAATGCCAATGGCCCAACGTGGATCCTTCAGCTTGAGAAGGTTACCTGTGGATGAAAAGGAATCAGCATCTATTGTTGAGGGCGCTGTTGAGGACACTGCTGAGTAGTAACCACCATTGGCTTTTCCTCTCCTGGTTTTTGACTGATTTTGTGGACTTTTATCATTTATTAGAAACATTTTGATGTTTCTGTGTCTGCCATCAGTTATGGGGAACATCTACCAGGAGTATCTACTCACTGTTGTGTGTGTTGAGTCTCGTGTTGCATCCTTTTGTGGAAATCAGTGCACAGCCTGTCCCCTCAAACGGACTGACGGTATACACTCGCTCTAAGCTCTTTAAATTTTGCCCGCTAGGACAACGATTGCTGATAGAATTGACCATTTTGAATCTGTTTTGCCAGACAGTCCAAAATTTGTCATGGGCGATTTTCACCAGTGCACACTTGGACATGTTCTACCGTCATACAAACAGTGCATTACGCAATCTACTCGTAACGATGCGACGCTGGACTGCTGCAACGGGAATGTTGCTGGGGCATATGAGACAAAAGCCTGTCCACAACTCAGTGCATCGGATCACAATAATGTTCTATTAATGCCTGCCTATAGACAGAAACTCAAAACATGTAAGCTGATTACAAAGGCACGTCAATGCTGGACCAATGAGGCAGCTGAAGAGCTTCGTGCCTGCTTCGATTCAGCGGACTGGGATCTATTCTTTGAGGGTCACAACACTATAAATGGAGTTGACACCGTCACTGACTATATTCGTTACTGTGTGGAGGTGGTAATTTCCATCAAGGAACAACAAATTTATGCTAACGACAAACCATGGGTCACAAGTTCAATGAAGAGATTGCTCCAAGAGAAAAAGGAAGTATATCGTATGGGAAACCGAGGGAAGCTGAAGAAAATGCAAAAACGAATCAACAAGGCGATTAAGTCAAGCAAACTAGTGTTTAAACGCAAACTTGAACATTACTTCTCCCAAAACAATACCAGGGCTGCATGGCAAGCTGTGGGGACAATCACTGGATACAAGATCAAATATAAAACACTGGATCTCTCAGGGGACTTTGTTGAAGAACTGAATAATTTTTATGGTCGTTTTGAGGTTCATGATTTCAGTAATGAGAATGAGGAGTTGAGGGGTCGTTTAGAATATCTTATCTCACAGTCTGGTGACGATGATGGGATATTTGTTAGTGAGGGAGATGTTTAATAGGAATTTGTTTGGAAGGGTTCAGGTAATTAAGGCATCTGGCCTGGACCGAATCAGTAACAAAATGCATCAGCTCTGTAGTCAACAGCTGGCCCCATTGTTCTGTAAGATTTTTCAAATCTGTCTGGATTCTGGCAATATTCCAAGACTGTGGAAAACATCACTAATTGCACCAATTCAAAAGGGGATTAAAATTCAGAAGCCAAATGATTTACGTCCAGTGGCACTAACATCAAATATTATGAAATGCTTTACTCCTTGATAAAGTGTTGAATGAAACATGTGATTTGTTTCCAAATCAATTCACTTATCGCCCAAATCGTGGTGTTGAAGATGCTACCCTTGTGTATCTTCATAAATTGCTTGGACATCTTGACCACACCAAGTCTTACGTGAGGTCACTTTTTGTTGATTTCTCAAGTGCCTTCAATAGGATCGCTCCTCACTGTTTGGTTCGTATGTTGTTGGACAGGAATGTTAACCCTAGGTTGATGCTTTGTATCAGCTACAGGATTCAATCAGTTAGAGCTGGAAGTCAACAATCCCAACAATTGATCACGAATATTGGTGCTCCTCAGGGATGCATGTTATCACCCGTTCTTTTTTCATTATACATGAGTGAATGTATAGAAACACTAACCCAACGTGCAGCATGCTTAAATATACAGATGACACTGTGAGCATGGGCTTTTTGTACAGTGATCCTGAGGACTATATTGCTCAGATGAACAAATTCATTGGTGCGATGATCACTTTTTGTCCTTAAATACAAGTAAAATTAAACAGATGATCATTGATTTTAGGAGGAGTGATGTACAGCACAAACCTCTACAAATACACAGAAATGTCATTGAACAGGTGCATGAATACAAGTACCTGGGAACAGTAATAGACAATAAGCTCTGTTGGAAAGGAAATTGCCAATTTGTTACGAAAAAAGCTAGTCAGAGGATGTTATTCCACTGAAAGCTCAAGAAATTTCATGTGGATAGGATTCAAATGACCATCTTCTATCAATCAGTTTTTCAGAGTGTGGTTACTTTTAATTTCATTTGCACCTTTGGTAGTATGACCAAAGAACAAAAGGGCAGACTAGATTGTACTAAGAAAATGGCACAGAGATTAATAGGCCAAGAACTTATCCCTGTCCAAGTTCCGTATGACACTTGTCTTTTGGCCAAAGTACAAAAGATAATGTCAGACATAACCCATCCACTCAA